GAGATAACTGTGCATAAATTGAATATTTCCCATAAATCTATGAATACTGCCCATTTTTAAATGTATAACATATTTGTACCTTTGAATAAAAATAGTGTTTATCAGAGAAAACGTTTTTTATATACGTGTATTCAGCAAATATACTGAATGCGTTTTTTTTATTTCATTTAAGGCAACGGAATATTAGAAGTGTTAAAGACGTGGACATTAATGTGGAAATAACACATACAGTTGCAAAGGAAATATTTTCTGCAATGTGAAAGGAACAGAATGCGACAAAATTTCAATCATAATATACTTACTAGCACAGATTTGATTTGAGATCCTCGTGTAATCTAATGTGCTTTGCTCTAAATTTATGAACTCAGTTATTTATATAATCTAAGCCTTTGAGGTTGCTTCTGATACAACAGCATTTTTGAACGAATTTATAATTTTATTATTCCATAAACAAGATGTTGGCCGCATGTCAATTTTTATGTCTGGCATTGTTATTCAAAGAGTACAAATGATTAATGTTCATGATTCCGTATCGCTCATGCGTGTCTTTCAGCGAAACTAAAACTGTAAGAATTCCACCTAAACCGTCATTACACCAAGAGAAAATAATGTCAAGTACGTCTAATCACAAGTACGGATTTTTCCCTATGCGAGTGGCGCGGTACAGAATGCTTATATACATACGGGAAACTGTTATATCATTTTGCAGATGTCCGATGCTTAAGTAGAAGTGTATTTTTACAAAGATTCAAGGTAAATTATTTTTAGGAATCAAATGATAAAGCGCATGTTAAACTGAGTGATAACGTTTGGTTGATGGATTTAGCTTTTGTTGTTGATATAACAAGCCATCTTAATGAATTGAACTTACAACTTACCATCTTAATGAATTGAACTTAAATGCAGAGATATTAGTGAAAAAAAGTAAGCAATGATATTTAGATTTGTTAATACTTTCAAAAGCAAGTGAAAGCTAATATCTTCCCAGTTGATGAAGAATGAACTAAAAAATTTCAAAAATGTTTCAGCACGTTATTCAGAACCTAAGAATAACTTTTGGAATGCAATGAACAAAGTATAGTAGTATTTTAACATCGTTCTTTGACTGTATTAATAGAATTTTCGTGAATTTATTATTTCAGATATTGCTTTATACTATATGATATGCTTAAGGACCACATGCTTTGATGCTTTGGTGTTTTTCCTGGTATTCAGCAGGACAATTCGTTCATGCTCTTGCCAGTTTCTTTAGAGAATCCCATCTGGACTTGGCATTTGATTAAGTCCGAAGATGAGAATTCTTCAGGTAGAATTGACAATAAGTGATTAGAAAATGTTCGAATGTTCGACATTTGCTGCAGAATGACGGCAGTGTAGTGAATATGCATTCTATTACGCCATGAATTATCGCTATGTTTACGTTAGATATCTTTCCAACAAATATTTCTTAATAGAGATATGGAGATTAATAATAAATTAAGTTGAAGTGCGTCTTATTTAAATTTACTTCAAATTCCAAAATAGAAACGGGTGTACTACATCTTGACAATTTATTGATTTAGAATAATAATTTATTATAATGCTTACGCTAATAGATTCACAATAATAATAGAATACATTACAATAATTACTCAAATTTCAAGCAAGTATATTTTTTAATTGACAAATGCAGAGTTACAATTGACAATAATAACTTTACATTTGAGAATCGAGAACATTTTGCATTTGAAAACAGAGAACCGCATCTGTAAGAGCAAGTTATTAAACAAAACAAAAGCAGTCTTGCTCATTATTTCATCCAGTTTGAGACCACTGATCTATGTATTGAATGTAGATAATTTCGTTTAAGTAAAGATTTCGATCTGACTTTTAAAGTCATCCCTGATTGTAATGTAAGAGATGGCCTTTAATAATTCTAAAAATGAGATTTTATCTAACTTTATGAGGCAGTTGTGTTGTATTTTATATGTGTTGGGTACGTGCTCAGTGATAATAAACAAATAAATATTTAGATATGTTTACTTTTAGTTTTTCAAACCATTCGGTTTTATTTTTAGAAAATGGATTTATATCTTCTACTGACCCTAAAATATATTCATTACCATTATTATGTAACTCATGCTCTAAATTATTCTGTACAACATTAACATTTTTAAAAGTGCACATTTTAGAAAAGTGATTTTTCTTTTTACAGTACAAGCAAATCTTATTATAAGCAGGACAGTTGTATAACTTATGAAAAGTTCCACATTTTCTACATGGTTTTGGATTATTGTACTTATTTCCATGATAGTTTGAAGAAGATTTAGTACTTTGTTGCTTTTGTTTTACATGAAAGTCTTTCTTACAAGGCTGACTTTTTTCCTCTGAAGATCGAAATTTATTACGTTTGATAGCTTCTATTTTATTTTCTTCAGTTAAAGTTTTCAGCTGAAGTTCTGCTAATTCAGAAGCTTTACACATTTTAATACATTTCTCCAATGTTAACTGATCTTCCCTTAATAATCTATCTTTGAGATTTTTTATTTAGAATTCCACTTACTATTCTATCCCTTATTAAACTATCTTTTAATTCTGCAAATCCACAGTTGCTACTTAATTTCTTTAAATCGGTTAAGAAATCATCAAACGATTCACCTACATGTTGTGTTCGACAGAAAAATATATGTCTATCAACACTTTCGTTTGCTTTCGGTATGCAAAAATTTTCGAAAGCTTCAATTACTTTGTCAACATCCTTCTTATCTTCTTCACTTAAATTAAAAGTATTAAATTTTTCAAGTGCTTCTTCACCAATTATATGCAATAAAATAGCTACTTTAATTTCAGGTGATTTAGTAATACCACCAGACGCTAGCATATAAATTTGGAATTTTTGTTTCCATTTCTTCCAATTTTCGCTTAAATTTCCTTCGAAACTTAGATTACTTGGTGGCTTTAATCCATCCATATTTAATTTAGGACTTTAAATAGTTTATATATACGTATTTTTAGTCACTTCCAATAAAAACATACAACAATATAAGTTTCGATTTCACAGTAAGCAACTTCCCATGATGTTTTTGTTTAGAACATCTTAACCGAAGCTCATGGTTCTTCAAAAAAGACTTTCTTTTTTAATCAACGACGGGCTGCGCCATGTGTTGTATTTTATATGTGTTGGGTACGTGCTCAGTGATGATTACAAGATGTACACAAACATCGTTTATTCTACATTACTCATCTACTATACTATATTACAGTTATGGTTAAAGATAATAATAGATACAGTTACAGTTACATATATAACAGCAGTCTAACTGTTTTACCTCATTCTGAATGCGCTGAAAGAATCGCCTGCTAAATAAAACAACATAAAAACCAGCCAGAAGTTATTAAAGAACGGTTAATGACAAAAAAATTAACAAAAAATTATAATCAAATTTGTTTTGTAAACCTAAATTAAAAATGATAATAGAAGTAATACAAGGAGCTTGTTTTAAAAGATACCAATTTTATCTGAAGAAAATGCAAGAACTTCAAACCTAAATATAAAGGGAACAGACAATTATGATTAGAATTAAATATAAGATACTTATTGTTAAATTATTTACCTGCAATGCAAAGGGAAACTTTTTTTTTTTTTTTTTTTTCCCTGATTTTATTTGGGTCTGCGTAATTCCGTTATATGTGAATACAAAAGCCTAAAAATAAACTCTTGCATATTATCACTTAAAATTTATCTTATCATAACAATTGCCAGTTTATCTAACATAGTGATCTAAACTTTTATTCCCCTAATATACACTTTTACAAATGTAACATCATGTTTAAAATTTTTCTGTTTAAAAATTTTTCTGTTTCTGTTATTGCAAACTTAATAACGAAAGTAATTCTTTCTCAACTTTTGCACCACATAAAACTATCGCATACTGTATGCAATTAAGTTTAGACTGAGCATCTGGACCACACTTCATCTAAACAACATATTTTTTTTGCTAAATCAAACCGGACTGCACCAGGCATGACCCAATGGGAAGCTCTGTTTTCGAACAATATGGTTGTGCGAAAGAATGACCTCTCTTCAGGATTTATGTTATTGTTTTTAACCTTTGAACTTGTGTGAAATCCAAAGTATAATAAAAAGTTAATAAATAATTTATTACATATACTGGGTCTCATGGAAAACAAAAAAGAAGATTAGATACATGTATATAGAAGTTAAATGAGCTACGCTTTTCTTTAATTTTTTTGTTGTTTTACACACAAAAATAATACCAATAAACGCATTCAATGCGGAAAATATTCATAAAATTTATGAGTACATTGAAGGTATTTCAAGTTATACCAGCTAGTTACATTATTAAAAAAAATAAAACTTTAAATTATTAAGAAGTGTACTGACTGCTCTTATTAAAAAAAATTAAATAATTTTTTTATGATTAAACTAATCCTTTATTTCTTTTTAATCATATTTTCATGTTTTTAATCATATGCAAAATATTAAAGTTCTCACGTTTTTTGAAATGGGAACATCTTGAGAAATGGATATCAACCAACACATATGTGAAGTTTTTAAAAAAAATTTTACATACTTTATATAATAATCTTTCAGTGATAAATTTAAAATGATGCAAAGAAGCTTAAAATAGCAGAGAGTTCGTCCGATGTCGTAAAGAATAAGGAGCTTAATATAATAAATTCTTTGAAGACAACAAACATTCTTGCTAAATTGCTAGCCCTCTTTCCATAAAATAATGAATATTATGTTGAACTGCTAATTAAATATCGTTAATTAATATATTTAAAACATATATACGCTAATATAATATGCTCAAATGTAATTATATATATTTAACCGCTTGCTAAAATGAATGTAATTTAATTGATATATTTAAAACTGCTTCCTGAAATGGATGTAACTTTGTTGAATTGCACAATAAATGCAGGAATGTTTTTAAATAACTAAAATATGACTCAACGAATTATAAAAAAATTATACCGATATCTGAGATACTTACCTGCTGTTGATTTTGCTGAAATTAACAGAAGTGTAATTGATACGAAGTACTTCATGTTTAAAATTCTGTGAAACAAATCTATCAATTAGTTTAGAAGAATGAAGCTTTGTCTGAGAATAAGTCATCCGTGCATAAAAGAAGATAATAACCCTTAACAATGAAAGATAATTTGTTTCTTCGTAATCTGACTGATATAAAACACAAATAAAAATTACATTATTTATGAACAAATTAATGTGGAAAAGCTTCGCTATCATTATTAACAAATGTTTAAAGTCAACATGTTGACAACATATGGTATTCATATAACCTCTATTCATGATAATCACTTTCGTATAAGAATCAGGAATAAGAATGAACAGTTTGTTTAATTTTCTGTGCGCAAAACAACTTTTTCTGAATCACATAGCATAAAATAGCTTAAAACTGGAATAAAATAGCTTAAAACTTTAATAATGGCGGTTGTGTTATATTATATATACTAATTAAAATTTTTGTTAGTTTGCAATAGCACATAAATATGACAGAAGTTAGCTTTGTAACATCAATAACAGTTAATAAGATAACTTAGAAATTATGTGTATATGTGTACAGAGTTCTTGCTTTTATGCATATATGCAAATTACACAGCTTTTAATTTGTTATACATTTTAAAGTGAAGTGATCTCACATCTTGAGATTATTTATTTACGAAGATTCCTATTCATATTTATAGCCTTGGCAACAGTATTTGTTCCTATTTTCCTATTAACCATAACTTCTTCAGAACATTTATTCATTTTAGCGTGATCTGTGTAGTTAACATTAAACTGAAAATTTTATCTCATGTAAAAAATGGAACTAACTCGTGAACATTTTTACTAACTCGTTTATGTTTTCTTACTTTCGAAGTTGATTATTAAGAAAAGAGTCCTTCGATGCCTAGGTCATGGTCGAATTCCGTTAAGGTCATCCAAAATCATTTATTGTGAATAAATATATATATATTGGTGTTGTGGTGCGTGAACAGAAAATATTGATGTTGTGGTGTGTGAACTGATAATGAGGGGTAGAATAGAGTAAGATTAGAGGCTGAGGGGTAGATCATTAATATCAATAAGAAATTACGTAAACATTTGCCCATAAAAAAGATTTGTTCGCATTTGATCACGTATAATCTGACAATAGTGTCGACTGGCCCGATGTTGGAAAAATAAGTTTAAGGTGCCTAAATAAAATAGTATGTGTCTTTTAAACGAACAGTAATCAGCTGTGTGGGTCTTCCAAGAAAATCCAAATCCCACAAAAGTTGTTCAAAATCGAAGCATTGAAGGACATCGAAGTAAAAAGGTTGTTTAGATAATTGGAGAAAATTGAATTGGCGAATCATTCTTCATGATGAAAATGCGAGCTCTCACGCATCGGCTCACATAAAGCAATTTTTTTACGACAAAACATGGAATTGCCCAGGCCTGATTTGGCACACAATTCCTTCTTTTATTCCCGCTCATCAAAATGAAATTACATATTCATCGATTTCTGACCCCGAACCACGTGACATCTTTTACGCATTCAAAAACGCATGTTTGGGAGATGCGATTTGATTAACGATTTGACAATATAATTCGAAGCATTTGGTTTCTCATTGTTAATAGCAACACATATTAAAAGGGAAAACTTTGCTTATTGTTTATCGCTCTTACTTATTTAATTTTACTTATTATTTATTGCCTATCATACTGATATGCCAGTTTAGTTTTCAAAAATTGCCATTGCTAAAATTTTGATAAGATTACTAGATTACTAAGCCTATATTTTTAAAAGGGGAAAAATTAAAAAAAATAAACCAACATAATTAATTTTATCCAAATCTTTAATCAGATCATATGAATCCGTTCAACAATTAGTTCAGTATCAGTTAGTTTTAAATTTAATTTAAAAATGTATTATTCATATTCATTTACTTACATTATGAATAATGATTCGAATTTAATATTATATTTATATAAAGGGTTTATATAGGGCAAGAAAAAGCATGAAATTAGCTGATATTAGCGTACTAATGTATCAACTAATCAATTTGTACTGGATTATTTAATGAACATAAAATAGATAGGTGTTTCAGAGGTTTCACAAGTACTCCAACTAACTTTTGACCATGGTTCACAATCTGACGTATAGTTTGAGATTTCCTACAGTTCGTACGAAATTTAACTAGGCATGATACATTTTTAAGTGCTTCCTTGTCGTGATCCTTTCATTCAAGTAGTACAAATCAAGCAAAGGAAAATTAATTACCATTGTTTATACTTTGAGCGGCCAACATTATGAACATTTCGTTCATTCGCATACATTTCGTTCATAAACTTAGAGCAAATCATAGTGATTATAATTAGAAAAATGCGTCTCCCCTCTGATAATTGAAATTCCTTTTATTTCTTTCAATTTTAATTTATTTCTTTTAAGATCTTGTTCTAGCTGGATTTAAAACTTGTCGCAAATGATAATAATACGTAACCAATCTATTTTAATTCTAATCATGCCATTGGCTTTTCAATGTTTTCTATCGGTAGAAAGTCATTTGCCAGAATGAAATAAAAATATTTATAAAATTTTTAACTTTTCCAATTTTTGTCACTATTTATTTCATTCACGAAATAATGAATAATGTTTAGTGCGATATTAACGAATCATTCATTCATTCATTATGTGTTATGCCGAAATATCACATTTATAATGCAACGTGTATAATGCTCCAGGATATTTATCCTGTAATGGCCAGATGACGTTGAAAAGTCCGGACGGGTAAGTGGGCGGAGTCGGAGATGGAAAGAGGGAGGTGACAGCAGGACGTGACAGGTTGAGGAGGGACTTCGGAGTTTATCGCATCAAGACTAACTTATTTAATTTATTCTGCAAGGCTTCTTGGTAAGTGTAGGTAACTGCAAGTTGAGTTAGATCAAGGCCAACTCATACTCAGTATAAGTTGGCCTTGATCCAGCAGAAGAGTCCATCATGTTGCGCCATCCATCGGAATCTTTGGAACTTCAAGGTAAAACTAGTAAAACATCTTACCGAGAAAAAAGGAGAAATTACAAACAGAAAAAAAAAACAGTTGAAGTAATTTCAGCTCTTTTCTCTCACGGTGGTGTGTAAAAGAAAATCTTCATTTTATCCACGTTCGTTCATGAAAACTGAAGTTCCAAATTCGTGGAAATAACCTTTACTGAAAAAATCTTCATTGTCTGAAAATAATAATAATAATAATAATAATAATAATAATAGTCTGAATTTGCCTGAATCGGTCTGAAAAAAATCTTCATTAACCGGAAAAATCTGCATCTTATCCATTTCCATTCATGAAAACCGAAGTTCCAAATTCGTGGAAATGCTCACAATTTAACCTGCCCTCGCAACTTTCTCCTTTACAATACAAACCATATCAGATCTCGGAGAATTCAAAGCACATCGAAACTAGGCCTGTAAAAATTTGCAAATACAGGGCTGATTTTTGTTTGACTTCTAAATGAATCCATGTTTAACACCCAAAATGGTTCTTTACCAAATAAGTTTACTTAGATGACATTGGAGGTGGAGTTTAAATATTTTAAACTGACGTGAACAATCCCAATTTTTTAGCCAATTTGAAATAGAGTCGCACCCCTGCAAGCAAACGGCAGTAAAATGTGACGTAAACCTTTACATACACTCTCTTCAACTATTATGACTGAAACTGACGGATAGATATTGCCACAAAACAGGAATGATTTCCACTCTGAGTTTCCCCTTAGCTTGCATTACATTTCCATTGACCACGCCTCCTGCTCTAAACAATTTTTACATCTATTACGGTGAATTACGGTACTCTGAAGTATTCGGCCTATCGGCCTTTACTCGAAAAATTAGGCAGTCTACAGGGCAGTCTTAGTGAAAATCTAAAACAGTACAATTTGTACGTCTTCCTTGGCGAAGCAATAGATGACGGCGAAACTTAGCCAGATTAAATACAACACCTAGTGTTTGATTGAACATGCAGAGTAGTCAAGTGAAGAATAATGACTTCCAATATCATTAAAAATTGTCCGAGTAATGAAGTTTTCGTATTTTTCATGAGATAAATGTTCCAAGTTCATGGAAAAATACCAAAATTTTAGCAATATTAGCAATTTGAACTAAAAAGAGTTAGCAAAGATTATTTACAACACGTTACGAGTTCTAATTAAACTTGATCATCTGGGATAGATAACAGAATAATTAACGAAATTTCTTGATTAAATATATACAAATGCCAAAAATTTTCCTAGGACGTTTGAAGGGCTTGTTAATGCGGTGATCGTAATTTCCTAGATATCTAATAACACTGTGCTGGTCACATTTGGATATAGATAGGAGATGTTTAGATAATTTGAGAATTTCTTCGTTGATGGTGTTAATCTTGCAAATTTTTCTTATGACGGTGTTCCTGACGAACCATTGAGAGTCTGACATAATTCATAATTGAATATTTTGTTGGCTTTGTAATTTGGATCTGTGGGTATAGGCGGTAGCAGCCCAATTTCTTCAGCTATGCTGCTAGAAAATAGTTTCTATTTAGTTAAATAAAAAACTTGTTATATTTATAAAAATTAATTTATTTGTTATATTAAAAAGATTATTAAATTTAAACATGTTTAAGATTGGGATGCATTAAACCATATAAATAACAACCCTTTCATTTGAGATATTATGCTAACAGTTACAGATATTATACCGACCAAAAGTAAAATAAATACTGAGCTCGATATATGAAAATAGCTAGCAGATGAAATTGAGTGTAGATAGTTTGATAAATAACCGGTTTCATATTTTAAAATATCATCTGAAACTAAGTTTGAAAAAAAGTTACAAACACATGGCTTATAACGTTATAGCCCAAAATTGACCAGTAATTGTGATTTGTTAACATAAAGTGTAAATATAAAATATATGTTCCATATTCCTCACAATGTGAATTCAATTCTGAGAAATGAAATCAAATATTATTACTAAAGTGCGTGCCTGTTATTGCTTTATTGTATACATAATAGAATGATTTATTCACACTTTTATTTTTACAAAGCATTGTTAAATTTAGAAAATAAAATGATGTACAATGATTTGTAAATAAAA